ATGCATGGATAATAATACTAAGATTAGCCCACTTAATCAGTTTTTTGCCAGTAGGTGTCTCTCTTTCAGCGCAAATGTGTAGCTTTGAATTACATGGACCTTATGTCAAGCATCCCATCATGTTTCAACTTAAAAACAGCCGTAGATTTTAACATTATTGGGTTTTTAGATTTTGCAAACCTATTTTGGGAAGCATGTGTATCTTGCTAACTGCTAGATCATGTCATCTTGAATAATAAAACCACAATCATTTGAAGTTTTGATACTGCACTTCATCCAGTCCAGTTTATAATGTGCAGACCTTGCTGCTGTTATTGCTAGGCTTCCTTTCTCCTTGGAAGATGACAATGAAAACAACCAGTTCATCCTGGATCTCGCTGTTTACAGGTCAGAAGGATTTGTTTTATTTGCTCCTTTGCTGAGATTGTTTCGGGAGGCATGTCGATTTTGATTTGGCTGTTCATTCACAGCCGAAGAGTATAAGAAACGCCCTGCTGGGTTGGACCAACATCTAGTCCAGCATGCTGTAATCTGGGAAAAGTATTCAGGAAGCTCAACCATCTCTCCCTTATGCTGTTGTCACTAGCAATCCATGTTTAGGCATGAGGTCTTTGATACTGTCAGGACTAGTAGCCATGATAGCCCAGTCCTCCATGAATTTGTCTAATCCCCTTTATCTCAGTGGGTACAGTAGGTAGCAGCCCCTTCCAGAATTTAACTGTGCACTGTTTAAAAAATTATTTCCCTTTCTCAGTCTTCTGTCTCCCAACATTTAGTTGCAGTGGATGACTCAAGATATAATACAGGAAGGGAGAAATAAAAAGGTATATCAACATTTACCATATTGTGCAGGTTCTTGTATACCTTGCTCATTTTCTTAAGTCCCCAAACCCAGTGACTTAATCTTTCCTTTGGGGAAGCAGACTCATGCTTATAATTATGTTGCTCTTTTCTGCCCTTTGTCAAGCTGTACAATATTCATTTTGAGCTGACAGAATTTTTTCATATAAACCAGAGAATGGGATTAAAATGATCACATGGATTAGAATAAACTCTACAAAGTGATTGTATTCTACTTTTTTTTCCTAAGACATATGCCAGTATTGGGGGAGAAGAAGGAGCATTTACATCTAATGAGGTTAACAAACAGTATTGCTACCACTCCAGTCAAACTCATACCCCTCCTGGTAACTTAAAAAAAAACAAAAAGTGTGGAAATCCTATCCCCTTTTATCTGTTTGTCCAATAGACTAATGAGCAGAACTTCATCAGCAGGTTTGTTACAACAGCTGTACTCATCTTACGTGTTGATCAGGTTCACTGTTACACAAGCTAACATTTCAGCCGTTGGCTGTCTTAATGCAACATATGGAATCAATCCAATTTTCTAGGTTTGCATGGCACACAGAAACACAAACTAGCCAACCGTTGTTATGGTTGTGTGTGTTGTGTGTGAACCCATCCAGTTAGTAGGTTTCTGTTTTATGGTTTATAGTTAAATAAAACTTGGGCATAGGATAGTGGGTGAATTAGTCCCATGCATGTATGTAAGTAGGTGACAGTTTTTGAGTGAGAAAATAGCAGGATAGAAATCAGACATTTCTCTCTGCATGAAGGCTGTGGCACAAAGGTGTCTGCAGAGGTGGGAATCAACAGCATCAAAATAGTGGGCACAACCAGAGCAATTAAACCCCACCCCTTTTTACATGAGAGTGATGCATACAATCCATGTTAAAAAGGAGTGGGGCTTAAATCATTTGGTTTCACCCTCCATTTTGACAGTGTTGGCCCTCCCCGCAGTGGGCACCCCTCCTGTACCAGTTTCTTTTATGGGGATCATGTATGATCTCTGGGCTCCTATTTCTCCTCGCTACTCTTGTCTCAGTATAAAATCTTCACCATCATAATATGGGGTTTCTGGACTCTTTGTTGTTGCAAATTGTAGAGTATCATCAAAAGTAAAGATGTTTATTATTTTCAGTGGGTCAGAAGAAAAAGGGGGATTGAGACTATTAGTTTTCTTAAGGACTGAGTGGCAAAAAAATAATCTTGCAATAAATAAAGGTTGTATTAGATACAGGTTGCACACAATCTTCTGAATGATGTACCTGTGTGTCACTCTGCTTTTTGATGGGAACAGAGGGAACAGAGAACTGCTAAACTTAATGCTGCCCCCCTCTCTCTCAGACATCTGGACATCTCCTTCCTCAATGTTGATGTACAGCCTACTTATGTCCGGGTAATGATCAAAGGAAAGGTTAGTATTCTTTGTTGTTGTTGCTTTGAGTCTTTTTTTAAAGCCTATTTCATTTGGATTTGTTTTCACTTTATGATGTTGGCCTTTCTTTTGGGATGTAAGGAGGCCGGCTTTGTTATTCTGACCCTGCTTGGTTGTAAGAAAGACATCTAAGAGGAGGAGAGATGATCATCATGTACAACAGTCTTTCTTTTCCTGGGGCCTTCCAGATGTGTCAGTTTGTGACTCCTCAAATGCACTAGTCAGCATTGTGTGAAGCCTATGAGAGTTATGGTCCAAGCAATTTTGAGGGTACCAGGCAGAGCAGAGCTGATGGATAGAGGGGACAAAGCTGCATTCAGAGTAGGGAGCAGCATGCAGCTAAACAGTGAGGGAAATTTGCAGAGGTTACAAAGCAAAAAGAAGTGAAACCCAATGCAAGTCAGGTCATGGACAAGCAATTGCCTTCAACACACTTGCCCACGCAGACCATCAAGATGGTGGTGGTAGTAGAGAAGGAAAGGCAGGCCCAGGTATATCCTTCTGGTGTCTTAGTCTGAAACTGCTAGCTTTCATGGAGATTACCACAGATTTGTCTCATGAAGAAGCATGTCATTTTGGGTGCACTTGTTCTAGTCTCAGCACATTTTTTTGCTCCCCAGTCTGGATGCTTGAACTCATCAGGCCTCAGACTTAATTTCTAAGGGGTATTGCTTCAGTCTCATCCAGCTTTTGTTTCCAAGATATGCTGTGATGGTCTCAGAAACTGTGTGTAGAGAGGTATGGTAAATGGAAGGAACATGATCCTAATAATGTTTGAAACTCTGGAAGGTTGCAGAGAAGTGGGTTCCCAATCCATTTGTCTGAGTTCACAGATAATGCTTCAAAGAATCACACCCGCAAGTCAGTACCTAGATCTTAATACAGGCATAACATACTTCATTTGCTTCCTGTTAAATATAATTTTATCTAATATTTTTTAAAAAGCTTTCTCTGAAGTTAACTGAGAAAAGTATTAATCTTCAAAGGTGAAATTCATAGTAGACCAGAGCCTCCCTCCCTCTCCTACTATGTTTGCTTTAACCCTTCTAGATTACACTTCTTTCATTTTCGGTTTTAAAAATCCTAGTACTATGATATTATTAAAAGCAGAGTAAAAATTAAAAATGAAATTTCTCCTTCGAATCAACTTCATTTCCTGGTGATTTCATGGACATGTCCATATAATTATTTTCCAACTAAAATGGACTAACATAATTATTCTCATTGTATCTTAATATCTTAAGCACACATTGTAACTTTTAGAATAGAAAAATCACACTTTTCAGTGACAACACAGAAGAAATCCTTGTCCATGTGTTTGTGGGACTGTCTTATCTTGCCTTATCTATCTGCATCTCTCTCTTTCCCCCACATGCACATACACATTCTACTTAGGGTGTAAATTAAAATTCTTTAAGGTGCAAATCACCTGATTAAAATGGCATTCATTTATGCCATCAGAGAGTATAATTCCATAAATCCTCTTGGATTAAAGTCATGTTATTCATATTATTAATTATTTTCTAATTGGGTCACAATTTTTTTTATTGTTGATTGATTGATTATGTGCCATCAAGTTGGTATTGAGTGTTAGCAACCACTCAGATTTTCTTCAGAATACTCTGTCCCCAACCTGGTCCTTCAGATCTTCCAATAATGCACTCATTGCTGCTGTCACTATGGCCATCCACCTTGCATTGATATGTTGCATCATCATAACCCCTCCAAACTAACCTTAACAAATTTAAGGTTTTTGAATTATTTCTGTGTCAAAGCATGCTAGCATAGTCCATTGTTGTAATGGTATATGGGAATGACCTTGGGAGACAAGAAGAACACCTGTAGCCTAGACAACAATCTGATAAACGAAATCTGGGCCCGAAGGAGGGGGATGGAGAAAGCGTCTCAGAAGGGACCCTCCCTAGTTTTGGGAGAGTAAAAGTAAGGGATGGGAGGGTACTTTCAGACTTGCAAGCTTCTGTTAATGTAACTTTACAATAAGATAGAGTTAGTACTCATGGTTGTGCTTCTTGTCTGAGCTACCTCAAAGGGCTAACACTTGTTGATATGTTTGATTTTTTTAAAGGTATTTCAACTTGTGCTTCCTGAAGAAGTGAAGCCAGATAGCAGCATTGCTAGAAGATCTCAGACTACTGGACATTTGGTTATCAACATACCAAAGGTGGGACAAATATTTAACAGAGATATTAAAGTGCAGTTTAAACTTTGACCTATTTACCCAAACATCCTTCTTACTTACTCTGCAAGTTTCTTTTGGGAGACTGAAGTTCTCATACCTGTTGTAGGATCTTCTCTAATGTAATGGCCAAGCCTGACCCATATCTCACCTGGGAGATTTTATATGCAATATAGGACCCTGCCAATTCAGGTCTTTTCTGAGAGGATACCTCTATTCTTTGCCTGGAAGACTGCAGTGCTCGTTTGATATTCTACCAGTCTTTCCTGGAATATTGAGGCCATTTCACACAATTGTCTTTGAAAAGTTGTAATTTTGCATTCCTAGTGTAGGGTTGTTGGTGTCTGATAATTTCAATGAACTAGTTGTGGAGGAGTGGTTCTCAGAAATGCAGATACCAGGGACTCTGTTTGAGAAGTTTTTGGATACCAAAGAAGTGTAATACCACTGAATGATTGTCTCCCCCTGTAATTATGGTCTTTTGCCCAAAAGATAAGCTAGCCAGAGAAATCATTGGGAGCATAATTTCTGAACATCACAGAGCACAGTTTGGTTGATTTGACTTACTATTTTATCATGTATGACACAATAAAAAAGGCAGGATCCTCTTTGTGATCCTCTTCATCACTGGAAGGCTTCAAGAGGTGCCTTTAAATTTCATAAATCATTTTAAATTTCATAAAACTTAAAAAAGGACTATTCACCCAGCTGGCTTCCATGCTGAAGGCAGGATTAGAACTCATGGGCTCCCAGTTTCTACCTTGGTGCCTTTAACCACTGCACCAAGCTGGCTCCCTTTGTGGGTTTTAATGGCTGCATAACACTTGTTCTACCACTTGTCCTGTTTTTTATTCTGTTAATTCAGGGATGGGAAACGTTCAGATACTTCATAGTATAATGTCTAAGTGAGTATTTGGTGAATAGTAGGAAAGGTCAACAGTGTTCCTGATGAAGGCCGAGAATCCAGTAGGCCATTAATATTTTTCTCTCCTGGATGATTTCCTGCAAGGCTGATGGATCAAAATGCTATTCTTCTCTTTCCACTCCCCATCCCACATGGCTTACTGTAAACTCCAGTGTTGTTGTTGTTTAGTCGTTAAGTCGTGTCCGACTCTTCGTGACCCCATGAACCATA